TTTTTCTTGCATGTTTAATCCTTACAATAAGTTCCCTGTACTTCTTCTTCAGTCCCTGGTGGCGCTCTCTAAGCTGATTGGCCATCAGCTTGTACTGGTCTCTCTCCTGCTGACACGTATCCAGCTCCTTGGACAGGATGAGCAGTGCTTCCTTCTTACTCTCCAGCTTGCGTTTGCACACCAGGAACTAAAACAAGGAGTGTATAGACAACAGTAAAGTGGTTTTACAGAATGCAGTGCTATGAATGGTACAGGCTCCAGATTATATTGGTTATTTCTGGGTTTTATCTTATTTTATTTAGCAGCAACACCTTCTAGTAATCCTTTAAAATGGTCTTGACATGCTATTTTCATAGCTTTCCAACAGTCTATATATATATATATATATATATATATATATATATATATATATATATATATATATATATATATATATATATATATATATATATATATATATATGTGTTTTATAGATGTTTTAACCTCTTAATATCTACCTCATTTTGGGAAATTCTCGCCTATTTGCATACCCAAATGGAAAAGCAAATTACTGAGGAACTGTAAGCCCAAGTTATGTGATACATTATTTGAAAGCTAACACCTGCTAGTTTATAAGCATATATACATGAAAATTAAGTGAGTAAAACACCCAAGCTGCATCAGTTCAAATAAGACTCAATGTTTTTTTTTTTATTCTGGAAAATAATAGGTCTTTTTTGAACAGCAGTTATAAAAACATAGTTGCTTGTTTTGGCTACTTTGTCATGGATGGAACATTTTGTCATGCTGCTGTATCTGTGTTAATTGTGCCTTGGTGCTTCCTATGTCTATAAAATGAACTAGGTGAATCAAGGCTTTCCAACGATGCCTAACATGTCTAGACAGGCCGATCAAGGAAAGCATTAATGGGAGCTCAGCAGACAGAATCTTGGATGGTTCTTAGTAAAGCACAGAGGTAGGCAGAAGGCTTCTCCATAAAAAGAGGGGCATTACTTCAACAGATTTTTACACAAATAGAAGTTAAATAAAACAGCACTCAAAAATATGTTAAAATACAGCATATAATATTTTGAAAGTAAAAAGTATGATGAAGAAATTGTACTTAAAGTAGAATCTATTTTTTTTCAAAATGATACTAAATAAAATGCAGCAAATGCACTAAAGAGAAATGCACTAATTCCATAAAAGATCTTGCAAATAATAAAAAAAATACATGTTTGCTTCTTCATCAAACTTTTTTAGTAGACAATATTCTGGTGCTGGTCTATCATGTGGAATCTCAATAGAATGTATTGTAGATTGTAGTATACCGTAAATTCTCTAATATTGGCCTGTATTCCAATAGCGGCCGGGTCTCTAATAATGGCCGGTCTCGCTGTCAGAGGAGGTAAATAATGGCCGGTCTCTAATACAGGCCGGGGCTATAAACGTTTTTTCTGGGCATACCTCAACATTATACTTGTGGTAGTAAGTAACATACAAGTACCACAGCCCTGCGCAGCTGGACGACAGGCCCTGACTGCTGCCCGTCTGCGCGAGGAAGAGAACAGACACGCAGCAGAACAGGAGGAGCGCGAGTGATGAGGAGATTAAAGGGAGAGATGAAGAGGAGGAGAAAAACTGAGGAGGAGAATTAAACAGAATTGGAGGATTTTTTTTTTTTTTTTACTTCAAACCAAGCGAGACATGGTAACTGTACTTTTTCAATAAATGAACCTAGTGTTTTATAGGTTCAAATAGACACAAAATCTCATTTTTATTCATTCCACTGGTAGTCTGTTTTGCTCAAATAGCAATAGAGGCCTGTCTCTAATACTGGCCTCTATCCAATAAAGGCCTGTACCGCGATGCACTTGAGTGAAATAAAGGCCCGGGCCTATATTAGAGAATTTACGGTATATTTAAAACACGGTGAAAAAATAAACCTGTTGATGTGTTTAACTGAGTAATTAAGCGCATTTTCTTATGTCCAATCAATATATAAATAGAGGAGCACATGTCTACAGGCCAGAGGCATAGCCAGAAATTTTCAGAAGGGCGGCCAGGCAATAACCAATGTACACTGAGGGGTAGCCGAAAGCGGAGAAGCACCATAACCTCACAGTCAATCTACACTAGCCTGACGTAGTCCGACTCAATTCTAGTCAGAATATGAGTCTGATACTGCTCCATAGAGCTGTGATTATGGGGCGTGTTTTGAACGGACCAGGAAAAAAAACGCCTCTGCACTCAATTGGATAGACCTACAACCAATAAGAGCAACGGAGTGCGTGACGTATGTTAAGCGAGGCATAGTTGTTGTCCACAAAAATCAAAGCGTGCAGTTGCACGCCTATAATAAGAAGATGAGACTTGATCGCGTTTCTCTGTTCCTCTTTTAAAATTAATTTGCTGTCGATATCTTCTAGAACAGACCTAATAGCAGAATATACTTACCTAAACTCTCCAGCGGCAGCCATTATTGTTGTCACCCAAGCGCGCATTGGTCACGTGGTTGATTACGTTACTGTTGGTCATCTGTCCATCATCGTATAAAGCCCGCCCTGACAATTTGATTGGATCGCCTGACAGTGGGCGATAATACTCGCGCTACTATGGAGCAGAGCCAGACCAAACTTCCCCGACCTCAAACTTTGTGGGCGGGACTAAGTTCGGAATGGCACCCAGGCTAAATCTACAATGTTCAAACAGGAAAATTAACAAGCAAAACATCCATATTTTCTAAATAAAGACTAACTATACGTTCCTACAGCCTTTGTTAACAAATAGACAGATATATTTAGACATCCGTAATTTCTAGATAAAAGGCATAGTGGATAAAACTCAGTTTTGAGTTCTGGGGCATAAATCAGTCATTATTGTCATTACTTACCTACTATTATCAATAAACATTCTGCATAAAATTGATATTTATAAGCACTAATATCTACATAAATTGATTATTTGATCATTTTTTATTCATCAATATATTTCATTGTAATTTTACTGAAGACTCCTAGAGGACTTGTAGAGACATATTTTTCTCTTTACCCCATATAAGACAAAATCTAGCCCTGAAAAGAGCATGAATTCTGTACTTATCATCTTTGATGTTAGTATATTGATGTGTATAATTAACCACAAAAAAAGAGTTTTGAATATTCCACTTAAGAGCATTACTGTTGCCACCCCTGGCCCCCCATCTAGCTCCGCCCCTGCTACAGGCAGCTTTAAGCACACATCCTGATAACCAGGTGGGCCCACATGTGCGTTTCCACCTCCGGATGCTGAATTAGCTTTATTCAATAGCCGTGAATAAAGCAATGGTTATGACCCTAGCGATTTAAACCATGTGTCTTTAATGAGTTTCTGGGTTTGTTTATCAGACACACCATCGCTGGTTCCATATGGACCAGGGGAGCATCTTTTTAAGCGCTCCCCGGGTCTGTGAAGCAGCCTCCCGCTGCTGCCTTTTCCCTCTTACCTCATTGACCAGTCCCTGCCAATCGCTCTCACTCCTCTTCAAAGACTGCATTATTGCTTAGGTAGAAATGTCAGAATAAAGGCAGAACACCGCTGCTTCACCTCCTCATCCGTTTGTTTACCCTGCAACGTCACTACTTGCCTCAGCTGTCAAGATGAAACCACTTCCGGTAGAACCGTCAAAATAAAATGGTATTTAAAAAAAAAAAAAAAAAAAATGTTGGTCAGTTTTAGCCAGAAAATCCTAAATTATTATTTATTAAAAAAGAAATCTAAAAAGTCAGTTTACTTAAACTATTCCTACATTTGCTTTTAAAACAAACCTTCAATCCAACTAAATTATGCAAATACACATAACTATAAATCTACATTGTGTTTAAGAAGAATTTACTACGAACTAAATTATGAAATCATTATCTTGAGCAGATTAATTGTTTGAGGAAAATAAGTATTTTATTGTTAACAATGTAATGCAACCTCAACAAAATGCACAATAGAGGATTCATGCGATAAATAAAAATATCAAATAGTATTTTGATTGTCTTGTGGTTTCTGAAAAGATAAATGAAAATAATAATGTAAGTAAAACACAGCCTTAGCTGCATCCGTTCAAACATGACTCAAAGTTGTTGTTTTTTTCTTCTAAAAAATAGTAGGTCTTCTTTTGACAGCAGTAGTAAAGACATGCTTGAGAATAGGCCTTTCTCATTGGATTACATTTGTTCTACATGATGTCAACCACAAATGCAGAAAATTACAGACCTCTGGCTACAAAAGTTCCAGAGCTGTGAAGTGTCTCCAAACCTCTCCAAATGTGACAGATTGTGCCAAATTGTTCCAAATGCTTTTACTCACTATTACCATTTGACCCATAAAATAAAACTGAAGCATTTTGATAGCCACAACACATTAATGAAGTATTTTTCCACTTTTTTTTCAAAACCTGTGTATATAACAAAATTTAACATTTCTAAACCTAAAATAACACAAAAATCTATATTAAAAAATAGTGTGACTGCTGCTTTTCAAGCCAAAATAAGCTCCAGTGCCTTTTCTGAGCTCTATTTTTTCAGCCTTTGGCATTGTAATAATACAAAATCAGCTCCAAAATCTTCATTCTCTAATTTTCAACCCTCTGCTTGACCAGGTGATAACAGCCTCTGGAGATCTTTGCACAAAGACGAATACTTCCTAAAAGGAGAACATAACCTTTTAAAAATATAATAATGGATTCAGAATTTCAATTCATTAGCATTTTTATTAATTATTTTACTTGAATGAATTCTGCTTAACTAGTACATTTTCGTAACACTAAATATGTTTATTTACAAAACTGTTTTTTTTTTACTTTCAGCTTTTTTATGCTTTTAATTTTATATCCAACAGCATTTGTGAAAGCAGAATGATTTATCAAGAATGTAAAATAATATAAAACCATCCTTTAGAAATAAATACCCAAATAAGTTTTCTTCACCTTGCATAATTCTACATAATGAGATAAAAGATTAAGATAAACATAAAGAGAACAGTAGAGTATATCTTGTGAATTGAAGGGTATCTTTACTAAGGTTACTATTGCAATAGAAATATGTATATTCTGTAAATTAAAAACACTTATATACAGTTACATGGATAAATCAACATGACAATTAAAATCTGATGTAACTTAACATGAAATACAATTTGAAACAAATAAAAAATAGTCATGCATAGCAATGACAAACTCATCTAGTTTAAGAAGCAGGTAAAAACAAAAGCAACATAAAACAACAGTAAACATAAAAATAATAAAATCCATAGGACAGAAAAATACATCAAATGGACCAGCATTCAAATAATAAAAAACTAAAAATCAAGAAAGACAAAATAGATACAAAATAAAACCTATTTTTAAATTAAAGTCAACATCTCTACTTTTTTATAACTATCTGTAGTGACAGAAGGTAAATTTAATGGGTTAATGAGGTATGGTAAAACTTTAATTATAAAATGTAATTAAAAGAAAATGTTTTGATGCAATAATGATCGGATGGGGCACTTTCACTCTTCCTTGTAGAAATAAGAAATATACATTCTCTTTAACAGGCTTTTCATGAAAAACTTTTAGTGGACTGTAACCCCTTTATATATTGTGTAAATATACCTTTTTTCATTTATTGTGATTCTATGCTGACAGTGCTGCAAGAGGAGAGAACACAGGTTAAAGTTCTTCTTGTGTGGAATAGTTTTAAGTTTTCACATTGTCGACACCACTGTCTTCCACTTCTACTTAATATATACTAGCTGAGGCTTACAAACTCAAGATAAAAATATATTTTTTGTAAATGTGAACTAACTTCATAAAATAGAATTTTGACTAGTAATGCTTTCTATTTGTCCTGCAGATACCTGAGATTTACCTGTTTATATTATAAAAAATAACTTTTAATCATTCTTTTTAATTTATTTTTGTTATTTTAGATGAATCATGCAGTTACAGAGCAACTCTTGACTGGTACAGGTTGATAGAAAGTTTTATGACACATAATTAAACGTTTTATGCTTAGGGATTTATGCTTTACTTAAACTGTGATGGACTGGTAAACTGTTCAGGGTGTACCTTTGCTTGACTGCTGCCAATAGACTACTGATGATGGGCACCAGCCCCAGTGACTCTTACAGAAAAGCAGAAGAAGATAGAAGGATGGATGGACTAAATTGTTTGCAGCCCATTGGCACTGGAAGTACAGGTAGAACCAGATTTGTCTTCCTCCTGTGTTTTAAATTTCAGAACTCTCAGTTGAAAGGGGCATATTGTCCTATTTCTTTTGAGGGAAAGCCCAAAGAAAGTTAAATTACCTGAGTAAATGTGTATTCTACTTGGCTTTGAAAGGCCAAAAGCTCCAGGCTTTTGAGCAGCATTGGAAAAGGTACCATAATTACCTAGGCAGACACAGAAAGTATGATTGGCTGAGGTAGATCTAAAACAATCTACATCTCTGCCGCTTATGCATCCAAGCAGGACAGTAATATTCTAGTGCCCTATGTCAAAAACAGCTGATAAAAAAAACAAAAAAACAAAACACAAGGACAACCGTAACGAGAGTCAGTTGCTAAAAACACATTCAATAAAGATTTAAAAGGACTAATAGGCAAAACCTGCATGAATATTAAAATGATCAGCAATAAAGACTCACACTTTAGCATAATTTCTGCCAAAATGTCTGCAAAGATATGACAAAATCATGTAAATTATGTGTTCATTGACAAGAGAAAATATTTTCATTTATGAGAACTGGTTTAAAGCTAAACAAATGACTGAAGTGATAAAAATTGAACAATCAATATTTGACACATGGCCAGCAGAAGTCTCATTCATCTCTTTGGTCTTTTTTATGCTAAATTCATTCTAAATTACTGGGTTGTGACTCCTGAGCTGGAACCCGGAGATGCTCCTTGGTGCTTGTGGATGGCATTGCAAAGATGCTTTGAGAGTCTTCGCTCTGAAACATTTCATTCAGTGGGATCTCCTTATTCCATCCGTTGCTTTGAGCATACTTGAAGACACATCCAAATAGATCAGGAAATAATTCAAGGACATCAATTGTTGAAGCCTCTTCAGCACTGTGAACATTAAACAGTTGTTAATTGAACAAATATATGATAAATGTTTAGCAGTAGGTGACATCTTTTTAGATGTTTACATAGTGTATTTTCTTTTGTTTTTTTATGGTGATGTATAAGACTAATGAAGAATCCACTCAAAGAGTTTATACAGCTAAAGTAAATGTCTAGAACATATTCACATCAGTATTAGCTAAACTTACTAGTGCTCAAGCATATTGCGCATAAAACGTAGCAGCCCCAGAATGTTGTCGGGGTAGGGTTTCCTGCCATCCATCTTTTGAACAAGTTCCTGTGGAAACTAGAAAGAAAGAAAAGCCAACAAGATCATAATTAGAAAGTTTTGGTAACCCAGTGTTGTTTATTTATCTTTTCAAATGTATTACCGAACGAATGTTCTTCAGCTCAAAGATTTTTGTTTATGATTAAAAAAAAACTCGAAAAAAAAGTCACTTCATAACATACGTCTGAGATTTTTTTTTGTCTTGTTCTCACCTTTTCTTTCCACTGTAAGAAGATTCCTTGGTCTGCATATTTTTCAAGTGAATCTATAAGTGTCTGGTCAGCATTTTTATACTTTGCCACTTCTCCTCTATTAGCAACTCTTTTTAAGTATTCAACTTTTCTGAAAATAGGCATCAAAATATGTTTAATAAAGCACTAAAGAGGAAGTAGCATGACAGAATAGAACAAAAGTTTTAGACAAATGATTAATAACATTACAAAGAGAGTTCTTGATTGTCTAAATTGGTCCTGATTAACAAAGTGCAAGGGTGAGTAAATATTTGTGTTGTAATGTGATGTTGTCTTACCGTTCTTTTTCCCAGAAGAAGGGGTGACTTAGACATTGTTCAACTCGAGGTCTCTCTGTTGGTTCTTTATTGATCATCCATTCAATTAGATCTTTTGCTACAACATCCTGAACATAATCCAAACTGTACTTTCCTTCATAAATGTTTGATTCCAACTGAAAGGATTTGCTGCCCTCGAAAGGATGCCTTCCATCAGACAGAATGTAATAAAGCAGCATCCCTGCCACCTTAAGAGGTATCAAAACATTATTATTATTTTTTTTTTTTTACGCCGGTCAAGGTCACTAGGTGGGTACATGTAGCGTAGAAACTCACCTGAACATCTGTTGTTGACTTGTATGGGACAATGCCCTCTTCTAGGGTTTCTCTGGCTTTCCAGCACTTTGTTCCTCCACCAACTGTTTGGTGAGTAGTTTGGTCTTTGGGCAAGCGTCTACTTATCCCAAAATCAGCCAATCTCAATGCACCCCTAACATCTACAATAAAATAAAAAATTGGGGGAAAAAAAGAAAATCATTTTGAAATTCAAAAAAATATATATAACATAACGGTTTAATGTCCGGCTGTAAGACATTAACATTAAGAGTATTAGTGCTAAACTAATAGTGAGATGATAATTAGATCATTTAAAATGAAGAGCTTTATGGTATGTCTTTTACATTAATTGTAAACCTAGAGGAAAGTCCTATTAATCCTTATCATACAGAGCAATAAAAGCATGTCTGAATAAAAAAGAGAAAACTAAAATAGATAGAAGCAAATATACAAAAAGAAGAAGAGATACAAAAGGTAGCTAGTTCCACAGGTGGCCCCTTACAAGAAAGACACAGCCAAGCAGCTAAGCTTAATTTTATAAATACTGCAGAATAGGTATAGAATGGAGCAGAATGAGGAAAGTTGGCCCCATGTCCTCCAGAAGCCATAAGATATAGCAGCATCAATATAAAAAGTTTTTCAGAGTAACTATTTTGGATGAGGTATGAGAAAGGTTGTGCCACAGTAGGGTCAAGGTAGAGCCAAGGAGTCTGTCACGACAAGTCCTGATTGAAAATAAGGTTTTTTACTTTTATCATCTGAGATCAATTTATCTCCAGATGAAGGTACTGACTAATCAACTTCCTTTTCAGAAACTCAGATCCAGGGACAATAGCTCTGTTTTGTCTGCATTCGGAAGCAGAAAGTTAAGAGTCATCCAGGTTTTTATGCATTTAAGACATGCCCATGGTCTATGTAAAGTGTTAGTTTTATTAGGATTTATGCACAGATATAGCTGAGTATCATTAGCATAACAGTGGAAATTGATCCCATGCTGTTTGATAATACTACCAATTGGTAGCATATATATAGTGAAGAGAATTGGCCTTAGCACTAATTGCTATATATATATATATATATATATATATATATATGTCTGCCTTTAGTTCCATACATATTGCTTTGGTCAAGCAATATGTTCTCTCCTCTTGGTCTAGTCGGAGTGCAGGAAGTAAGCATATCCCTGAAACTATGGAGCTACCTTGATCTTGGTGCTGATAAATGGCTGGATTACTCATTTCATTCACCTGCCTAATTCTGCTAATTTTCTTGTTACCATTCATCTGATCTACCTGCTCCTGCTTATATTTAACCCATTTAGGCCTAAAACGCCTGGAAAAAACACCTTAAAAACCTATGGCCGATTTTAAAAAATACCCCTAAAACCTGAAGTTTTTCTGTAAATTCAGCAACTGTGTCAACGCCTAAATTATTGATATCTCAGCTTCTGTAGCAGATAGAACTCAAAATATATTTTATCTTTGAAATTCTTCCAAAAAAAAAATGTGAAAAGCAGTAATCAAAAAAAAAAAAATTCAACCTTTTATTTTTTCCATATGTGATCATGTCTTCATTGAGAATGTGCAATATAAAACGTTTTCAAAATAAAGAACAAACATTACATAAATAACTATCTGATGATTACTTATTAACAGTATTATTATGCATAATAATGCATATGTCTGTGTTATAAATTGCATACAACCTACCTCCAGATGGCCACAAATCTGTCCCGGGACATATTTTGGGGGAACTGCGTCCTGAAGAGAGGTTTACATACACAGCCCAATAAATGTCTTCATCTCCGTCACAGTCACGGGTGACCACTTTGCCATCTTTGCTCTTGTTGGAGTTTGGTTTGTTTGGTCACTGTACCTATTCGTCTCGGTAACTAGATGCATCCAAAGTTCTTCATTAAAAATATGCTCAAATGCCTGCAGCGGTGTGGCGTCTGCAGGCAAATCAACTTTCACTCCAGGTGTGCGGTTGAAAACACTCCGTGCATTGCGGTGGTAGTTCGATTGGTTCAGCGCGTTCAAAGTCATCATTTTCATCTATACCGTCATCAAAGCCGACACACTCCTCAAAATCACTGCCTTCCGACAACTCTTCTCTGTCAAACTCCTCCATGTTTGCTTGAAAAAAACTTCTCTCTTCTTGCTTGACTTATATGCTCTCCCGGCGTCAATGGTAGAATGACGCAACAGCACCCCCGGCTTGAATGGTAGAAATGCGGTAATGCTTTCCCGGCCTAAATGGGTTAACCAGCTCTCTAACCAGTCCTCTCAAGCCTTTGGTGAGAGTTCTCTAGCCCATCTGTTTGTGTTCTGATTGCCTGATCCTGATCTGTTCTGCCTTTGGACCTCTTAGTCTGTCTGTTCCTGTTCTGATCTGTTTGCCTGACCTGTCTTTGGACCCCTGCTGGATTCTGCCTGTTAACTGAAACTGGACCTGCTTCCTGACACCAACCTGGATTTCCCTTGAGTACCTCTTCAGATCCCTGATCTTCTGGCTCAGACTCCTGTAAACCTCTTCCATACCAGCTTTGGCTTCACCTTCTGGATAGTCCTGTCTTTCTTCGTCTGCTTGGATCTGATCTCCCTCCAGTTCTGCAGTTTCAAGGCTTCAGCATCTGGGACTCTGGGCAGCGTTTGCCGCGTGGTGTTGGCAACTGTTCGGCTGGACCCATGTTAGCGACTCATTCGTAGTCATCCTCTGTCAGATTAACATGGTCACTAACCTGAGTTTTCCCCCTGCAGAGGTTTCTGCCTTAGATGTCCCTGCAGGTACTGCAGATCCACTGTTATATAATTAACACTTTTGAGAAATCACTCTCTTTCTGCCTTGAGTCCTGGGTTTTGAGCCTTGACAGGAGCTCCATTGTACCATATTGCAAATTCTCTTCAATGTTCTAACATCATATTTGCCTTTTGTTTAATGGAGAGTTCTACATAATTTATTTAAGTAAGGCTTAATTAATTGTGGAATTACCCAACAAGATTGATTGTGGCTGGCTAGCTGAAGTGGTAAGTCACCTGACTTGCACACCGGGACTCTGGGTACAAATACCCCCAGTGGGGGCCCTGAGGCAAGACCCTTTATGCTAACGTTGTAAGTCGATTTGGATAAAAGCGTCTACTAACTGCATAAACATAAATTTTTGCTGGGGTCTGGGAGTTTGGTTGGGTGCTCTGCTGATTGCCTGCACCTGTTCCTCAGCAGCTCAAGACTACTTAAAGAGTTGGCTGCCAGCATTTCAACCCCTCAGTGTTAACACTCCTCTAGACTCCAAGCATTGTTTTTCTACTCCGTTCGAACCTGATCTGCCCTCCACTATGTTCTTAAATCTCTTCTGCCCCCCCTAAGCCATAACCGCCTTACATTCAACCCTTAAGGCCAACACCCAGATCACATCTCAACTCCTCCGTGGCAGATTCACCTCATTTCACAAGTAAGAAATCTCACATTCTCTTCTTCAAAATCAATCTCCTATTCTCGTTCTAGTTGAATCTAATCCATCTGTCTTTCCAGAGTCCCTGCTACTCCTGCCCATGCCTGCCAACAGGAGGTAAAATAATCCAGGCACAGGCCAGGGGGCTGCACGAAATTGACACTCTGACCATTAAAACTAATTATATATATATATATATATATATATATATATATATATATATATATATATATATATATATATATATATATATATATATATATATATATATAGATTATATATATATATAGATTCACGTTCATGATAGATGTTAATTCAAACCCAGGTTTGCAACTGACTGGTTTTAATTGTAACTTTACTGGGAAATTATGTTGATAATTGTTTATTGACCATTAATTTTGTTTAGTATTATTGATGTAATAAGGTAATGGGGGTTAAATTACATATCTGATCTGTGACAGGATAAGCAGGCTTGATTTTTAAGATGGCACTTTAGACATAGTTTTAATTCTTCCAGGGACCATTCTTTTGGCCAGAACATGAGACAAACAAGCAAACAAAAAATAAACATGTAATAAAATAAAAAATAAGATTAATAAAAAAATAAAAAGTGACAGGGAACTTGAGGACAAAAATGAATAATAATAGGCATCACTAACACACATATGGGAAATAGTAGTTTGGTTCTAAGAAAAAATAAAAACACAGACAATAGGTTTTGTTCAATTTTGGCAATCAATCAATACTACAAAATGTTGGCATCTATGCAAAGAATGTTCCTTTGCCCTTATAGATACAGTATTATATCCACTCATTATATAAGCTAGTATCCAAGCCAACGTTATTAAATTTTGCAAGACAAACATGTATTACTCTTTCAAAAAATATGCTAGCATTGTAACAGCATACATGAGTATTTTAGATGTTCTTACCGATTAAAATATTCTGTGGCTTTAGATCGCGATGGAAAATGTGAGGATTCTGACAGTGAAGCACTCTTAAACTTAGAAGAAGCTGGTAGGCAAGGGTCTTTCTCTTCAGTGGATCATTACTACCATTTATGATTAGTTCCTCTAAAGTGTACTCGCAAAGCTGGAGAGCAAGATATCCAAAGTTGTCATCCTCTGCATGATCAACATATCGTACAATAGCAGAATGATCTAGCTCTGGCAGTCGGAGGATTCCCTCCTCATTTTTTATAGTTACTTTTAGACATTCTTTTAATTGCAACTTCTGTGCCATCATCTCTCAGTCCCAGGAACACTTCAGTACCATCACTCCCCTTTGCAATGTGAAATTCTTCATCATTGGCATAAATAATGCTTTGTACTCTTGTCACTTTAGTTTCATCGATGCTAGCCAGTTTTTTAAGCTTATCATTCCACCTTTTGCTGGTTTGAAACCATTTTCTTCCTGGTGATGCTTTAGTGGGACTGTCCTCAATTAGTGGTAGATTTGAGACTGGTTTCACTAAAGAAGCCATTGTTGCATCACCAGCCGTTGTATAGTCACCACAGTTAGGGTTTTCCTTTTCCAAGTTTTTTGTCTGTCTCTTCTTCTTCTTTTTAGATTTAACCATAAAAGCATGTCCATTGCCTTCAGAAATTGTGTTGTTCAAGTAAATTTTCAGACATTTTAGTCCTTCTTTTAGCTTAGCATTTCTTTTCTTGTCTGCATGTCTTATTATTTCATCAGGTACTGAGGTTATCAGGCCATATATAGAAAACTTTGCTGAGGGCAAGTTTGCAAATATGCCATAAGCGTAGGTTCTGATATCGTTGGTGTACTTCTCATGTACAAAAGGGGAAACTGTCTTGCACAGTGTTTCCATAAACTCAGATTCCCAGCTGTTGATGGCCTTTGTTTTCTGTGTCAACTCATAAATGGATAGGAGAACAGCTTCCCAAGTTTCATGTCTTTCCTCTCTTTCAAGAACAGCCTCCCATGATGTTGTCTGTCTGTCCTTCAACTGAAGTTGGTGCAGGAGTGTGGAAAGAATGGCCTTTCCTTGATCATTTGTTATGTCGTTCACTTTGTGGAAAACTGCATTCAAGGTATCAACTGCACTTTTCACCGCCACCTTTGGGATTCCTTGCAAACGACTGACGGTACTTGTTATGTAGCTGTTTAAATGACTGTTTTCTGTAAGCCAACCAATACTTCTCTCTTTGTATTCTTCTGCACCTCGCCCAGTAACATTAAACAGCACTTCAATCAGGGTCAAACGGCTGTAAGGATGTTCCGGTAACATCTGATCATGAAAGGTACGGAAAACTTTCTCTGGTGGTCCCTCTCGAACAGCTATTGTCATACCCAAGAAATGACAGATTTTGGAGCAAAACTCATTTCCTTTCAATCCCAAATTGTATATAGTCTGAGCTATCTTTTTGTTCTTGTTCAAACTGTCAGTAACTGATGCAGGTAATAGGGTTACCTTTGCTTCAGCCGAAAGTAGCGTTTCAACAACATCTTCCCTGTAATAAATGGCTGCAAGTTGCAGCGGAGTAAAGATCTGATGATCGCTGGGGCCCCACCCATTTGGATCTGCCCCCGCTTTAAGAAGTTTTTCTACAATGCTAATTGGAGCTTCAGATATTGAGACATAATGCAAAGGTGTCCAGCCATTTGAAGAAGTAAGATTTGGGTTTGCATTCTGTTCCAGAAGGTATGTAGATAAACCTAAGTTATGGTTTACTACAGCAGCTGTCAGTGGGGTTACGTAATCATCTAGTTGACTGTAGGGATAAAGTGCGTTTATAGGGTCATGCAGTATCTTTATAAGCTTGTCTAGATTGTTTTCTTCAATACATTGTATTGAATCAAGAATCCACCTTTCGTATTCCATTTTCAGAGTTTTTTAAAGTGTTTAACAGAGACGTTAGCACCTCGACGTCGGAGTACACAGAGTGAAGCGAAAAGACTACAACTGTGTAAACAGGCCCCATTTCCGTTTCCGGTGGCAGGGGAAGATTGACTATTCCAACAGAACTCAATGGGATTTACAAAATGCTAAATAAAACACTACAGGAACGTTTTTTCTTTACGAAACTTTTTTTGGAACGTCATTGAACAGCGCTGACGACCCGGTGAGTAGAATATTTTAAAAAAAGAACGTTTAAGGTGGTTTTAAGGACATTATCGGACATGCACTATGGAAGCCGTTCTGAAGCAGCCAGGGGTGGATTCTACAGGTGCTGGTCATAAAATTAGAATATCATGAAAAAGTAGATTGATTTCAGTAATTCCATTTAAAAAGTGAAACTTGTATATTATATTCATACATTACATACAAACTCATATATTTCAGATGTTTATTTTGTTTAATTTTGATGATTACAAATGACAACAAATGAAAATCTCAAATTCATCATATCAGAAAATTAGAATATTGTGAAAAGGTTCAAAATTGATGGCCCCTGGTGCCACACTCTAATCAGCTAATTAACTCAAACCACCTGCAAAAGCCTTTAAATGGTCTTTCAGTCTAGTTCTATAGGCTACACAATCATGGGGAAGACTGCTGACTTGACAGTTGTCCAAAAGACGACCATCGACACCTTGCACAAGGAGGGCAAGACACAAAAGGTCATCGCTAAAGAGGCTGGCTGTTCACAGAGCTCAGTGTCCAAGCACATTAATAGAGAGGCGAAGGGAAGGAAAAGATGTGGTCGAAAAAAGTGTACAAGCAAGAGAGATAACCGCACCCTGGAGAGGATTGTGAAACAAAACCCATTCAAAAATGTGGGGGAGATTCACAAAGAGTGGACTGCAGCTGGAGTGAGTGCTTCAAGAACCACCACACACAGACGTATGAAAGACATGGGTTTCTGCTGTCGCATTCCTTGTGTCAAGCCACTCTTGAACCACAGACAGCGTCAGAAGCGTCTTACCTGGGCTAAAGAGAAACAGGACTGGACTGCTGGTGAGTGGTCCAAAGTCATGTTCTCTGATGAAAGTAAATTTTGCATTTCCTTTGGAAATCAAGGTCCCAGAGTCTGGAGGAAAAGAAGAGAGGCACTTCATCCACGTTGCTTGAAGTCCAGTGTAAAGTTTCCACAGTCAGTGATGGTTTGGGGTGCCATGTCATCTGCTGGTGTTGGTCCATTGTGTTTTCTGAGGTCCAGGGTCAACGCAGCCACATACCAGGAAGTTTTAGAGCACTTCATGCTTCCTGCAGCTGACCAACTTTTTGGAGATGCAGATTTCATTTTCCAACAGGACTTGGCACCTGCACACAGTGCCAAAGCTACCAGTACCTGGTTGAAGGACCATGGTATCCCTGTTCTTAATTGGCCAGCAAACTCTCCTGACCTTAACCCCATAGAAAATCTATGGGGTATTGTGAAGAAGAAGATGCAATACACCAGACCCAACAATTCAGAAGAGCTAAAAGCCACTATTAGAGCAACCTGGGCTATCATAACACCTGAGCAGTGCCACAGACTGATCGACTCCATGCCACGCCGCATCGCTGCAGTAATACAGGCCAAAGGAGGCCCAACTAAATACTGAGTGCTGTACATGCTCATACTTTTCATGTTCATACTTTTCAGTTGGCCAACATTTCTATAAATCCTTTGTTTTTATTGGTCTTCAGTAATATTCTAATTTTCTGATATGATGAATTTGAGATTTTCATTTGTTGTCATTTGTAATCATCAAAATTAAACAAAATAAACATCTGAAATATATGAGTTTGTATGTAATGTATGAATATAATATACAAGTTTCACTTTTTAAATGGAATTACTGAAATCAATCTACTTTTTCATGATATTCTAATTTTATGACCAGCACCTGTAAATGAGCCAAAAAGCAGAGACAGGACCAATTGTCAAAATTTTGTTGTCGATCATTCGATTTCATCCTGGACACTACAGAAAATGGGCTAAAAGTGTTAAAAACCGGAATTCTCCTTTAAGTGTATGTGAGAGAGTGATAAGAAAACATTTTAACACTATGACTTATATTTTTTGTTATTAATAACAATAACACCCAAAACGTGTCAGCCATTGCTTATCCAACTGTATTAGGTTTGCTGCTTTGAAATTACACAGTTGAGGAAGTATACACAAATTTTTTGGATGTAAAGCTGCAGGGCTATTTTCAAATAAAAGTTATAATTTGTAATTTTAAAAGTACAAAACAACTTTTACCCTTGGGTCAAAATGGGGTGGCTAAATACTAAAAGAATGATATGACTTCTATTTGTTGGCTGCCATAGGGACTAATGGAGTTACAGATTCATTACTCCCCCCACATTGATGTAAAACTATTCCCAAAAGTACTATTTCCCCCTAAACATTCAAGAAAATGTCATTGATTAATTTGACAAGTAACTATCTGTCTCTGCTTATTACTTTTCACTCTCCCTTTCTAAACTCTGTTTTTCTATTCTTCTCTTTCATGATGCTAAGAAAAGCATGTTGCATCAGATGCCGAAATTACTTTATATACTTGTAACTTTCACATATTTGACAGCGTCTCTCTGCAGATAGTTTTTGTTGGGCATTTTTCTCTCCTGGTTTGCCTCTTTGCTTGCACTGACTCAAAACAAAGAAACGAATCCTTAAAGTGAGTAAGTTTAGTGCTTTGCCCGATTGCCTATTTACTGTACCAGGAAGTAAGAGTACAGCACCACACCTTCAAACTTTAAAAACCGACCTACTAATGCTGTTACTGTTACAACTGCATAATATTCTGAAACATGAGGGAAAAAAACATAATTTCTCGTCATGAAAACATATCATGATTTAACACACGTTTGTTTATGACTGTAAAAACTTACAATTCTTACAGCTCCGGACAGATCTGGAAACCGGTAATGAAAACAAGCAAGCCTCCACTTCGGAAGCGACCGTCAAGCCAACCTTCACTGGCTTTTTGTCGGGAACGCATACACTATGAAATACGGTAGCAACGCTGCCTTGTGTTTTTCAAAATAAAATGAGTATTACTGTTTTACTTGATTGATTCAATGCTCTTTATTTCAGAATACCCATTTATTTTACCTGAGTTTCAATGGTTGTTAAACTGAAACTTTGTTTCCTGGTAATATTGTAGTACACCCTTAGAGGCTTCTCACTAAAAGCAATAAAGATCTGATATGGAATTTCAAAATTAAAGCCTGTTTAATGTGCATCTGGGTCCTTCAGCATCTTCACTGATTACAAATCTTGTTGATGGATCTACAGAAAACTTTGGTCAACTCTGTCATACTTCATTTCATTTGAATTTACTATAAAATTTGCTAAATAAATGTATTCATTCAATTTATTCATGCATTCATATGTCAGATAATACTTCTCCATAAAAGAAATTAGAAGTAGCCAGAAACTTTTTTGGTCTGTTTATCATTATTATTATTATTATTTTTTTTTTTTTTTTTCAGTTTTAGATCAGTGAATGATAAGACATGTTTACAAGCATATTTCTCACATTTATTTTTGATACTCAAATGAATGAATGTACATCAGTTTTTAACATAAACATTCATTACGCTTCTAGATCTTACAAAATAAGTATAAAGCTTGCATATTTCTTTTTCTTTTTTTTACTTGCTGTGACATTCACCCTATTAGAAGCACTTAAAGACTTTGTCAGTTTTTTTCCAAAAAATAAATCATTTCTTTTTTTTTTTACTTTTTTAAGGTCATGCTGTTGCAGGCTACAGGAACAATTGTTTTTTGTTAGTAAGTGCAAAGAACTGTTAAGAACTGGTTGTGGCATTGCAGTCAAGATTATATGTACACTTGAGAAGAGGTCAGCATTCTTTTTTTTTTTAGGAAGAGAAGAGAGAAAGGCTTTATGTCTCAGTAAATATATTTACAATTTTCTTTTCATTTTGATACTCAGAAAACTTTACCTGACTAACAAGGAACTTTTCATTTTTCAAAATTGCAATTATGTTACATTTACCTGATCAACACAAAATCTACCTCTGATCTAAAGTTGAAACAAAATGAGAAACCTCCATCCAAGCAAATGTATCTGAGTTGAAAATCTGATATACCCTGAACTAAGTATTTAACTTTTTACTTCTGAAAACAAACATTTATTATAATTTTCTATTGTCTTGCCATGTATATTACACTCAATAGCACCTACTTTAACATTTCCAAAATTCAGCTACATTCTAAGATCTCAGCTATGATACTTAAAGGTTTGTGCTTTCAAGAGACTTCCTTTAAGGGAAGCAGGGTGTGATACTCCATCACAACCAGGAGGAGGCACTGCAAGTCCATGAAAACACTGAAATTCTCCTCTGAAAGGGGCGTAATATATCACAGGCCATGAAGACATGAAGAATGAGGCACATGTCTACTGTGCTCTCACTGGCAAATTATGAGCAAACATAAACATTCTTGGAGCTCCTTTAGCTCATGAAGCTATTCAGATGAGCATCTTTTTAGGAAGATTTAAGCCAACACCTGATCTATTTTTTAAGTCATAGCTATAAATGCATTATTGGAATTTGCCCATCTAGAAAGTCTTGTTTATGTTGTTTTTTTCAGATGGGAAGACTTTTGACTGTAGGAGAGACAATAAGGCAAAGCCTCTCACAGTGTCAGGTCAATAATAATGTGTTCCAAGATCTGTGTGTTCCCCTTAAAGCTGGAGGAAAATATAAAGTCCCTGCGATCGGTTGAGACCACAGTGAAAGAGCGCGGTGCCTGGATGTAGACCTCCTTGAAGCGCTCAAAGATTCTTTCGCCATCATCCCACAGGTAGATTTGCGAGAATGTATAGTCACTTCCCAAAGCCAGGTAGTAGCGTTCCTTGAAGGAGAATGGCTGTAGGATCATAGAGCCTCTGGATGGTACAGCCTGGATCTCAGCAAATTGTTTGGGTCCCCATTTTAGGACCTTGGAGTCACCGATGTAGCGGGTCATGGCAAGGTAGAGCTCCTCTTTGATCCTGAAGTGTTTCACAGCTACTACGTCCTCCATGTTCGGGATATCACCTTGTAGGATGAACTGCTGGTTGCTCCGACTCCACTGGTAGATCACCGGAACCTGTGAGCGACTGGCTAAGATCAGATGAGCCTTTCCGTCTAAGTTCAAGAACTCTGCATCCGTGTCACGGAACCACTCGTGCAGGGACTGGTATGAGTAGAAACCATTTTCGTTCCACTTGTAGAGCGTCGACAAGCCCGCTTTAGAGCTGTCGGCAATGACAAAGAACCAGTCTGATCCGATCTGAAATGCTTCGATGTCATTGGGCTTGGAGATCTTGGACACCTCTGTGTCCTGGAACTTGTTGAACCTGCTTTGGTCATCGTCAAACTTGTAAATGTGGGAACCACCAAACAGCTGAGCCACGATGACGTAAACCTCATCCTGGATGATAACTGCCTTGCAGCCAACAATGGACTGACCTGCAAACAGAGGAACATGAGACATTCAATGATTAAACTCAACTGAGGCATTAACTAACTGGGTGCTCTTCTAGTGTTGATCAAATTCCTTTGACCCTTAAGCTAAAGCTAACTGCTTAACTAAGAGCTCTGTAGCTCTTCCTTCTTTCTTGATGCTTAAAGGTATATTGGAGAATTTTCATAAATTTTTTAAAAGACCCGCCCTCTCCACTTTCAAAAAATAATGTACCCTGTACCCGCTCCCGTGGAGGAACAACCATTAAACCCGTGCGAGAGCATGCACGAGCCCATTTCTCCTTGTGCACGCTCTGTTTAAAAGTTGCTGTTTTCATCGCTCATACAAGCTTATTGTCCAAAAGAAGATTTACGATTCTTCTTCTATGTCAGACTTACCACCGGTAAGTGAAGAAGGGGACTAGCACGTATGATGGCCTTACGTAAACATATCACCAGAATGATTGACAATTAGGAGGACCACTTATTTTGATGATCCACCCGGAAAAATATCATCCTCCGATATACCTTTAAGAATAGGCCAAGCTTAATATCTCAGTGTTTATTTAGTAGTATAGGAAAAAAATTTTTTGCTGTGGGAAAAACCAAAAAGCTTTGGACTTGATGGATGAAGGGTAAAGGAATTTTCTTACCAGTGATATTATCGTATGTCCTGAAGTTCATTTCAATGTGGTCCCATTGTAAAACCATACAGCTGTCTATGCTGGGAGCAGCAATAGTGACATAGACATCATTTTTGAAGCTGAACGTATCAACAGACAGGGACTCAGAGGCCACAGATTGATGAACGACAAAATCTGTGGAAAGGCGTCCCGAGACCATTAGTGGGAATATATTTTTTTTCTAAAATTACACTGCAAAGCTGACCGACACTGTTCTCACCTGTCGAGATGCACTCGTTGTGCAGGCTGTTCATGTCATTGAGGCGCTTGCCCTTCATGTCCTCCGGCCCGGCACACACAACATCTGACACCGTGGCGTTAGTGCTTTTCAGCCACATCATGAGCCACTTGGCTCTGCAGTCGCACTCAAAGGCATTGCCTCTCAAGTCCCTGCAGAGCAGAACCAATGTGAGTCACTTCTGAAAAATAAACTGACAGAACAGCCATGTAATAACTTCTAACAGCATTTTAAAACTTGTAGTGAACTCACAGCTCGATCAGTGAGTCCAGGTCAATGAAAACATCCCTGGGTAAGAATTTAATGTTGTTGTTTGCCAATGACCTGGAAAACAACCCCAGTGACAGAATATACACCAAATGTCGGGAGAAAATGTAACAAAAACAAAACATTTTTGATTGATTTAGGTACATACAAGTGAGTCAGGTCCCTGAGTCCTCTGAAGGCATATTTTGATGTAGTCTCCAGCTTGTTGCTCTCAATGAATCTGTGGATTAATAATAATAATACTAAAAGATGTGAGCATTTTCATTAGAGGGACAATGTTTTTTTAGCATTATTAATCTTAAAGTGCCCTGAAAAATCTTGATTTCCTATATACTTAATTAGTATTTAATTAAAGTGAAGTATCAAAACATTGTAGCACATGGTTCTAAGATGGTTGGAAAATTATAGAATATTTTTCATTTTATTTCTAAAAAAAAAACAGGTACTTACAGGTACTCCAAATGTGGAAGGCCTGAGAAAGCGTCATCTCTTACGGTTGTCAGAGAGTTAGAGTTCAAAAGTCTGGAATGATAACACATGAGACCAGTCATAAAAAAAAACACTTGATTAAAACTTAAACAAAGGTTTTGGTGCAATTTATTTAGAAGCTAAATACAAACTCATTGGATGAATAGATTTTTATTAACAGTATTGTGATTTTAACAATAAAATTTCAAGAAAACCTTTGTTTTGGTATAAAAGAAAAATTTAAAAAACAAAACAAAAAACCGAGGAAGCTGAAGAGAAAGTGGATTTTCCTCTGTGATATATTAATATCAATGGACACAACTGACTAAACATTCAGGTTTACTCAGACATTTACTATTACTTATTTTAGGCATGATCATTGTAAAGAATCTCAAGTTCTATTGATTTATTTCAGCTGTTCCCCGGACTGTTTTTTTTGCTGACATTAAAGGAATAGTACACCCAAAACATGATTAGCCTTCATTTTCTACTCACCCCCATGCTGAACAACACTCTGGAGTACTTTTTTGATATCTCAAATGCATCTGGAGATCTGGGAGGCTTCTTGCTGTCTGCTGACATTCAAATAATGGAGGTCTATGGTGACCGAGACAGAAAGGTCCATAAAAGTCCACAAAAAACGTGTCAATATTCCTCCATATTGCTCGTCCAATGTATTCCAAGTGTCCTGAGTGGGTAGCATCCAGAATTTACTCGAAACGAAGTCATTTAGAATGTTTTTATAGCATAAACACTAGTGTATAGGATTTCCTTAAAAGCGCGTTCACGACGCTACGGAAACCGCGGCAGACCAAACCAGATGATAGTGCACATTCAGCTCGGCAAAGAACTCATGCTCTTCCTCAACGAT